ATATTATGTTTACACCGGAAAGCAAATGTGGGGAGGTGTGCTACCAACAGGACATTTTCATATTTACAATAAGTGCTGGAGATAAGCCCAACCAGCAAGAAATCAAGATGTGTCCATCATTTGTTGAAAATTGGTTTACTTTTTTTTTAATCTGTGCCTTATTTTGAGAATGTAGTAGAGAATATGGTGTTTGAAAATATTAGAATAAACATCATAAAGCAATTCAGTAGTTTTGGTGAATTGGCAATAAAATAATACTCTTTCAATATTGCTCAGGATGAAAAATGACCTGGCTCAAAATATTACTTAAATGGATCAAGAATTTTCCATATTTCAAAGTCTACTTTTCATGTTAGTATCCTCCAAACATTTGTTTATAATTGTACTTTCAGGCTATATTTTTTATTAGCCGCCTATAGTCATTTCTATAAGTACTAAAAGTACAAAATTTGTTTCAGATGCTATTTTTCCAATGGAAGGATATATTTGATAAGCTAAAATGATTTTTTCTCAATCAATGTTTATTTGGCCTGGGACATACATGATTAATCAGAATGGTAATTCAGAGTAGATGTGACTTTAAAGCTGGTTCTAGACTAGATGTAATGAATTAATGAAAATTGGGTAGCCAAACAAGATGACCTTCATTTATATTTCTTAAATACGTGCCAGAGAAGACTGAAGCACCCCATTGTCACTTACAGTATGTTAGAGTTTATAATCTACTCAGGAAAATAGATCACATCTTAAAAGATAAATAATAGTGATACTTAATAACCTAAGCTGAGTCTCCAGTAAATGATCAAAGTAGAAAATAGTATGGACTAGGCTAATCCACTGAAATCTGAAGGGCTAAGGGGAAGAATTTAAACTGAGCATCTTTATCAGAGTATTATTTGGAAGAGGACAGAGGAAGGAAACTAAGGAGCAGAAATTATCCTACCATAATTAGATTTTGCACAGTTAAAAAAAAAACCTTAGTCCTAATTATAGGAATGGATAATGCACCTTTTAGGAAGACAGTAAAAAAGATGTTCAGAAGGCATGTACTTAAACATTTCTTCTACATAAATTGAGGATTACATTAAGGAAACAGCTTTCTACCTGGACTTGATGTATCTTCACTCTGACTTTTCAATAAGGTACTAACTTTTCATGATTTTCCTTGTATGTCTGTTTTTTAACTTTCCTGCTCTTGCTAAAAGAGCAGTGCTGAATTAGTCCTGTTATACTAATCAAGTAAAAAGAAGACATATAGTGTTGTTCCTTATGGGGCAAAATAGTTTCTAGATCAGGTTTTTAATTGCTCTTAGCAAAAATAATCTCTAGGTGTAGATGCAGGAATATTTAAATCAAGACAAAATCCCAGACACCATGGGATACAAGCTGAAATCAGTATATTTCTACAAGCAGAAAAAACACTTATGGATGAATTTGTGCAGAAAACTGTAATGTGCAGTGTTTAGGAAAGATTAGAGTTTAGGAATGATTAAACTCTAATAACAGACTATTTTGTGGATGAGAGAAAGCAATAAGATTGATCCTTTGGGACAGATGTTGAAAGATGCATATAGTTCAGTATTATTCCATGCTTTGGGGCAGCCAATTAGAAAAGTTATTACTTACCATATAACACTAATGCAGATGAACATCTACTAAAATTAGCATCTATACTAAATCTCATTTATACTGTTGCTTACAGTGAAAATAATATTTCTTTCCAAAGTGTAAAATGATAAATAAACAACAAAAAAAAAATCTTACAGCGTGTCACCATGATGATTTTTGAATGATCCAAGTCTGTACAATCTGTTACTTCTGGTATTCATCTCAAATAACAAATATAAACCATTACTATCTGCAAAGTATTTGCCATTCCTTCCAGCTGAGCTATTTCAAATCACAAAAGATATTGCTGTCAAAGTGCTGCACTCAATATGTCAGGAAATTTGGACAACTCGGCGGTGGCCACAGAACTGGAAAAGGTCAGTTCACATTCCAGTGCCAAAGAATGTTTAAACTACCACACAATGGCACTCATCTCACACACTAGCAAAGTAACACTCATAATTCTCCAAATTAGGTTTCAACAGTACATGAACTGAGAAATTCTGGGTGTTCAGACTGGATTTAGAAAAGACAGAGGAACCAGTGATCAAGATGCCAACATGTGTTGGATCATAGAAAAAGCAAAAGCATTCCCCCCCAAATCTACTTCTCTTTCATTGACTATGCTAGTCTTTGACTGTGTAGATCACAACAAACTGTGGGAAATACTTCAAGAGATGGGAATACTAGACCAGTTTACATGCCTCCTGAGAAATTTGCATGCAGGTCAAGAAGAAATAGTTAGACTCGAACCTAGAGCAATGGACTGGTTCCATTTTGGGAAAGGAGTACATCAAAGTTGTATATTGTCAACTTGCTTATTTAACTTATATTATATGCAGAGTACATCATGCAAAATGCTAGACTGAGTGAAGCACAGGCTGGAAAAAAGATTACAGGAAGAAATATCAATAACCCCATAAATGCAGATGACACCACAATTATGGCAGAAAGCAAAGAGGAACTGAGGAGCCTCTTGATGCAAGTGAAAAAGCTGGCTTAAAACTCAGCATTCAAAAAATGAAGATCATGGCATCTGGTCCCATCAGTTCAGTTCAGTTCAGTCGCTCAGTCATGTCCGACTCTTTGCGACCCCATGGACTGCAGCACACCAGGCCTCCCTGTCCATCCCCAACTCCTGGAGTTTACCCAAACTCATGTCCATTGAGTCAGTGATGCCATCCAACCATCTCATCCTCTGTCATCCACTTCTCCTCCTGCCTTCAATCTTTCCCAGCATCAGGGACTGTTCCAGTAAGTCAATTCTTTGCATAAGGCAACCAAAGTATTGGAACTTCATCTTCAGCATCAGTCCTTTCAATGACTATTCGGGACTTCCTTTAGGATTGACTGGTTTGATCTCCTGGCAGTCCAAGGGACTCTCAAGAGTCTTCTCCAACACCACAGTTCAAAAGCATCAATTCTTTGGTGCTCAGCTTTCTTTATAGTCCCACTATCACATCCATATGTGATTAGTGGGGAAAAAAATAGCTTTGGAACTTCAGAGTTCACATATTGCTGAAGCGTGGCTTGGAGAATTTTGAGCATTACTTTACTAGTGTGTGAGATAAGTGCAATTGTGCAGTAGTTTCAGCATTCTTTGGCATTGCCTTTCTTTGGGTTTGGAAGGAAAACTGACCTTTCCCAGTCCTGTGGCCACTGCTGAGTTTTCCAAATTTGCTTGGCATATTGAGTACAGCACTTTCACAGTATCACCTTTAAGGATTTGATAGCTCAACTGGAATTCCATCACCTCCATTAGCTTTGTTCATAGTGATGCTTCCTAAGACCCACTTGACTTCACATTCCAGGATATCTGGTTCTTGGTAAGTGATCACACCACCTTGATTATCCAGGTCATGAAGATCTTTTTTGTACAGTTCTTCTTTGTATTCTTGCCACCTCTTCTTAGTATCTTCTGCTTCTGTTAGGTCCATACCATTTCTGTCCTTTATTGTGCCCATCTTTGCATGAAATGTTCCCTCAGTATCTCTAATTTTCTTGAAAAGATCTCTAGTCTTTCCCATTCTATTGTTCTCTATTTCTTTGCACTGATCACTGAGGAAGGCTTTCTTATCTCTCCTTGCTATTCTTTGGTACTATGCATTCAAATGGGTATATCTTTCATTTTCTCCTTTGCTTTTCACTTCTCTTCTTTTCACAGCTATTTGTAAGGCCTCCTCAGAGAGCCATTTTGCTTTTTTGCATTTCTTTTCCTTGGGGATGGCCTTGATCCTTGTCTCGTGTACAATGTCATGAACCTCCATCCATAGTTCATCCGGTCCCATCACTTCATGGAAATAGATGGGGACACAATGGAAACAGTGAGAAACTTTATTTTCTTGGGCTCCAAAATCACTGCAGATGGTCACTGCAGCCTTGAAATTAAAAGACTGTACTCCTTGGAAGAAAAGTTATGACCAACCTAGACAGAATATTAAAAAGCAGAGACATCACTTTACCAACAAAGGTCCATATTGTCAAAGCTATGGTTTTTCAGTAGTCTAGTGTGGATGTGAGAGCTGGACTATAAAGAAAGCTGAGTGCTGAAGAATTGATGCTTTTGAGAGGACTCTTGAGAGTCCCTTGGACAGGCAGGAAATCAAACCAGTCAATCTTAAAGGAAATCAACCCTGAATATTCATTGGAAGGACTGGTGCTAAAGCTGAAGCTTCAGTACTTTGGCCACCTTATGTGAAGAACTGACTCACTGGGAAAGACCCTGATGCTGGGAAAGATTGAAGGCAGGAGGAGAGGGGGACGACAGAGGATGAGATGGTTGACTGATGACAGACCGAATTGATGGACGTGAGTTTGAGCAAGCTCCAGGAGTTGGTGCTGAACAGGGAAGCCTGGCATGCTGCAGTCCATGCAGTTGCAAAGAATCAGACATGACTGAGTGACTGAACTGAACTGAACAGAACTTGTTAATCATAACTGCTTCAAATTATTGCAACTTAATCATGGGAAACACCATTTTTTGCACAACTTTCCTAAAAACCGAGGTTTCCATTTTGTCAATGTTCTCTTTCAGTGTTGAACGATTCCTAGCCACTAACTAAATATCCTTGCCCTCTCTGCATTTCTTTTTGTAGATTTCTACTTACCATTTTTTATTTTCCCAATTCTCTAAGTAGAGCCTGAATTTAGAAGAGATCTTTTCCTCTTTCCAAACAAAATGTATTTTAACCTTCAAAATCAGAAAGGCCGCCACCTCTATTTATTTTGTTAAACTTGTATTTTATGCCATTTCCAGTTGATTTTTCCTGCTGACAATGAATATTGGCATATTTCACAGCGTTTGGAAAGAGCTCTGTTCTTTCATCATGTTAACCTCTAATTGTGAAATTCTGGTTTCCTGGAAGGCATTAACAAGCCCTCTCTTTTCCTAGGTTCTCCATATAGAGACAAAATCACCATAGCCATTCTTCAGCTGCAAGAGGAAGGCAAGCTGCACATGATGAAGGAGAAGTGGTGGAGGGGCAATGGGTGTCCAGAGGAGGAGAGCAAGGAGGCCAGCGCCCTGGGGGTTCAAAACATTGGTGGCATCTTCATTGTTCTGGCAGCCGGCTTGGTGCTCTCTGTTTTTGTGGCAGTGGGAGAGTTTTTATACAAATCCAAAAAAAACGCTCAATTGGAAAAGGTAAATGTCACTTTTTTGCAACTTAAAACAATTGTTGTTATAATAAAGCCAACTATTTTTTATCTTGCCAACCAAGGGCAATACTTAGAACTGTGACTGTTAACGATCTTCTGTCACTCGTTATATACAAAGGTTCATAGAACTCAGGATTAGCTTTGTGCTTTAAATTTAAAGGTAATATTTTTAATTGAACTGTTTCAGAACCAGCAACTATTTTCCCTCTTATTAAAGTCTGAAATTGGAAAAACTTTTGCTGCTTGAAGTTCACTGTGAATAGTTTATTGGAAGAATATAATTAATGAAGTAAAACTCAGAAACTGTTATATGAAGAAAAAATTTTTTCTGCAGTTAAGTGCTTCAAGATACAATACTCATTAATAGTTTCAAGTTAGAGAGTAAATATAATTTTTATTTGAAGATTTTTGCTCCAATACATTTCTATTTGAAAAATCTCAAAGCACATTGTGGAAATTTTAATGGATATTCTACATTAATGAATATGTGAGAATATTGTGGGTTTCTTCTTTGCCACTTAATATTATTCTTAGTGCATCTTTTATTGTCTTGCACAGGAGTCTTCAGAAGAATATATATAAACCTCAAAATATTGAGATTATTGCAATTTTCCTTAGGATTTTAATATATTTAACCTTTGTACAAATATCTTTACATTCTATTCTTTAAAAAGTTTGTGAACATAGTTCATATTATACATTTCTAGTGCTATAATGCCATTAGTTCTATAAATATAAGAATGGATATTTATAGAGAAATCTTTCTTTCTGATAGTATGTGCTACTCTAATATAAATGTATGACTCGGAACATAAAATTCAGCTTTAAAATTTTTAAGCCTCTTATAACTTAGTCTTTTAGTATATAATAAACATCTTTTCTGTTTTTAAATGAAAATCATTTTTTTAGATCTTAATTTTTAGATGCTGCATCAGAATGAGATATATTGTTTTAAATATTTTAAAGGTTTATAAACATTTATTGGTAAATATAAAAGTAGAAATATGATATTGTCCTTCATAGTTAATAATTTATGATAGTTATTTCTGAAATCAAAATTCTGGATACAGCATTCCTACATTTTACTTCACTTAATTAATACACTAAATTCAATTTACTTCACTTAATTTAATTAAGGAAGGTAATTGATTCCTTGAAATAGTGTTAAATGACTATTCTGATAGTACCATTCTATGAGTAAAATAACCAATTAAAAAGTTTGAGAAATTTGGACAATTATATGATTTATTTAATGGTTGTATCTGCTCATCTGACTAAATCAAATATCTTTTGCCACAGGTGTGACTGAAAATTAGGTCTAAGTACACTTTTTACATTATGATTTTATTATGATGTCACATGAGTTTTGGGGTCAAATCCTAAGAACTAATCAAAGACGAAAGTTATTAAATCTTCAATTTTCATATTTACTATAAGTTATCAACAAATGTGATATTTGGTTAGCTAATGCTTAAAATGAGTCCCAAAGTAACATAAGGAACTTAGGTTGTCTAGTTAGAAGTTCACATCATCCATATGCAGTAGTTTTCTTTCACTTATAGCTCAGGTTTAAGATAAAACACATACATTAATCTCTTGACAGCATGATAGTCTATTGCTCTTTTCTCTTTGTATCCTATTTGTATGATTTACCTGGGCCTTGTCTCTAGGTACAATTATTTTATAGCATTAAGATGTATGTATTTATTTATTTATTTTTCATTAAGGTGGTTTTAAAGGACATGGGAATTTACTTTTTGTAGAATCACCTTTATTCTTATAAATAACTAGTTTAGTTGAATTTTTCACATATCAACCAGTTCTTAATTTCTGTGGACTTCTATGACCTTCTTTAACATTAGAAAATGGGAATCAATTGACCTGTTTGGGCTGAAGCAGATAAAATATTATATTGGAAAAAAAGAGCTGTTTTGATAGGACGTGAGCATATGAGTCACATCCTCTGATGTCAACGTCTCCACAAAGCTTCCGTAATGAAGTTCAAATTCTCTAGCTTCACAGAGGAGACATTTCAGGATCTCTCTCTGTTCATCTTTGTAGTTTTATATTTTGCTTCTCCCCAATTTGTGCTTGTACTGTAACCGCACTAAATTGCTTTCTATTTTCCAAGGTGAGCCAGCTTTTTAAAATACTCTTCCTATTTTACCTGAGCAAACTTTGTCCATTTTTCTACCTGGCAAATTCCTACTAGTTATTTTAGATTAAGCTTTCAAGACTAGGTATCAACTTGCGAAGAAATTTTCCTAATCAATAGGTATAATGGATCTGTGTACAGGGCACAACTATTTCCACAAGGTGGTGTTAGATTTTTATTTTCTATTCCAATGAAATTGCCAACATCTGTTGGATCATCAAAAAGAAAGAGAGTTCCAGAAAAATATCTACTTCTGCTTTATTGACTACACCAAAACCTTTGACTGTGTGGATCACAGCAAACTGTGGAAAATTCTTAAAGAGATGGGAACAGCAGACCACCTTAGCTGCCTCCTGAGAAATCTGTATGCAGGTCAAGAAGCAACAGTTAGAACAGGACCTGGAACAACAGACTGGTTCCAAATTGGGAAAGGAGTATGTCAAGGTTGTATGTTGTCACGCTGCTTGTTTAACGGATATGCAGAAATCATCACCAATTTGATGGACATGAGTTTGATCAAACTCTAGGAGTTGGTGATGGACAGGTAAGCCTGGCATGCTGCAGTCCATGGGGTCACAAAGACTTGGACACGACTGAGTGACTGAACAGAACTGATTTAAAAGAAAACCATATGACTCTATCTGTACATCTCATTTTTTAAAAAAGCTTAGCTGACTTCAGAAACTACCCTCATTCCAAGAACATTTGCTGCCCCTTTGAGAAAGGGGGGAATGTTTTATCCATTTCAAACAAGATCCATTCTTTTCTCTGTGAAGCCTTTGACAAAATTTCTCCCTTGAAAGTGAAAAAGTGTAGTCGCTCCGTCCTGTAGAGCTCTTTTTTTTGTGTGTGTGACCCCATGGACTGCAGCCTGCCAGGCTCCTCTGTCCATGAAATTCTCTAGGCAAGAATACTGGAGTGGTTGCCTTTTCCTTCTCCAAGGGATTTTCCTCACCCAGGGATCAAAGCTGGGTCTTCCTCTTGGCAGGCAGATTCTTCACCATCTGAGCCATCAGGGAAACAGCTCACTATTTTATTCATATTTGCTGATTTGAGTGTGTGGGGGGGTGTCCCTCTTTCCTTATTAGATTCTTTCCTCTTAATTCCTTTTGGAAAAGGAACTAGTCAGTTTGATTTGTATCTCCATATCTTAGACAGTTTATGTTGGCGTAAGACTTTCTTCCTTTTTTATATTTCTCTCTGTTTTCCTCCTTCCTTCCTTTTCTCTCTCTTTACCTGTTAAATAATGAAACTGATTCCAGAAACTTAGAAAAGTTGATCATGAATAATAAAAAAGAAGTATATTTTCACATAATTCAATAGAAATATGCTTATAAAGTAAATAAATAATAGGTTTATTAGATGTGATCCATTGTATTTATTGTGATAAATTATGTTCTTGAGCTCCATTCCTCTTCATTTTTCCTGAGAAAAAAATTTTGTTGGGCTATATGGTTTAACACCTTAGCTAATTTATTAAAATTAGCTGTGAAATATTCCTAGATTTTATTGTAAAATATGCATGTGAGTGTATAGAAATTTAGTTTATTTGCATTTATGACTTGTGCTTTTAATTGAGATTTTTAGATTTTAAAACCAAAGTAAATAGTTTTAAAATTATTCATTTACTCAATAATTATTTCTAGAGAACCAAGTGTATAATGAAATATATTTGCACATTGGAAGTAAGCAAGTATATATTATTCATAATTCCAGCTCCCAAATACTTTCTCTTACCCCTTTTTCTTTCTCCATTTTATTTCTTCTTTCTTTAATTCATAATATTCTAGTATTTTTAAAAAGAATAAATGAAAATTTCTATCTTTATCTAAATAAACTGGTAGATATGATATACATGCCATCTAATGAAGTTTATTTATAAAATTTATGATTGACTAATATATTACCTTTCAAGTCTTACTTCTGATAATGATGATAAAATTAATGATTATTATTATTTAAAGGTGAAAATAATGTCTTTTATAGTATATATTTTGTAAGATATTAAAGGATCACACTGGTGTTAATGACTATAATGTTTTATATTTCTGAGTTGTTTGAGAACTAAGTGTACTATAAGTATGTGTTATTTTTAAATGAGGGCAGGTTAAACTAAAAGAAAAGATGATGCTGAAATATATAGACCTTATAAAAATATAAAAATTGTAAGTTGCATTCCTTTCCAATAACCACAAGATGGTGTATTATAATTTTTAAAATACTTAGTGGTTTTAATTTTGATGCAAATATTAATGCCTCAAGGACATACTGCATTTCACATTTATTCAAACTTTTTAACTAAATAGGTGTTTTTCTTTTTTTGATGGTTTTCACCATATAACCTGACCATTACGAAAGTTACTTAAAATATTTTTCCACTTTGAACATGTTTGAAAAATAACTAATCAACATGTGCATTTTCTAATTTTCTTTTTGCCTTATATTTTCCTTGCTTTTAAAAACGTTAGTGTTTGAGGTACATTCAGTAAGCAATTCAAGAAATTGTTGCGCATCTTAGGCAATTATCAATGCATTTCAGGTAACATAGATTTGTTTCAAATAGTCTGTGTTTACCTTTTAAATCTTATTTATAACTGAAAAAACTTGCCTAATATTTAGAATTTTAATTTCTCTGGTAATATATTTTTATGATAATACATTTATTTTTGTAAGTATGAGTTATAAATTGTTGTAATAATTTTTACAATACTATTTTATGATAATTATTGTTTATTAATTTATGTTTGGAATTATTCATCATTTCTTAAATTTTTGAATATGTTCATTTTTAAAAGCTATATATAATTCTGCCTTCTTTGATTTCCAGTGAG